TTAAGAACTATTCTAAGGTTCATTAAAAATCAGCATCAGAAGTTGCCCAACTTGAGTTACTGGAGCTGCCTGTTTTAAGAGTATGTGCTTAATGTTCTGCTTTATTTTTAATAAATTCTCTCAAGTTTACATGAATAAAGAACAGGAATCTGCCTGAAGTCCGCAAGCTTGCTGTCTTTTTAACATGCTACAATGCAGATGCTCTGACCAGGTAGGGCTGATGAAAATGCACTATTTATAGCAATGGACCATGTGCACACAGCAACCTGATAAAAGGAAATCAAGATTTTCAGCCTAAGTTTGAATTTCAACATGTTGAAAACATCCAACAATTTAACCAAAGGTCATGGCAGAACAAAGAAAAGCACTTGTAATGGTATTACAGGGGTGACTTTCAATTAACACCAGCCTCTCCTCTTTATTTTCTTCCACATCAGAACATTCTTTACCACAGCTAAGCTGTGCGTCAATAATCATCACAATTTTCTCCAATTGTTGTTTCACAAAGTGCTGACATTCACTGAATGTGAGGACAGCAGGTCCCAACTGAGTGCGAGGCAGATGGTGCCAGGTGAGAACCATCACCACGCCAGACAGGAATTTCCAGTGTAACCAAATGCTTGAAGTCAAACACCCATGCATTGCTGCTTGCTGCCCTTCCTCATTCTGCTCTCAGCATCAATCTTAGAAGCTTCATCTTGAAGACAGTCTTCACTTCTACCTGCACATTTGACCACCTTTTCCATTAGTTTGGTACCTTTTGACAGCTTCTGAAGATGAGCTGAGCTTCCTGTCATTTTCTGACGAGTCTGGCAAGCCAGATGACCCACTTGCTAGTCTGTTCCAAACACTGACATTTTCTAACATGCATCTTCTTTTCTTTCCCTCTCTGTTATGGGATCCATAAGGTAATTCAAGCTGGAAGGCATCTCAGGTTGTCTCCTGTCCAATCTCTGCTCAAAGCATGCTCAGCCATGAGGTCAGACTCTACATTGCTTAGGGCTTCTCTCCTGCCTGGTCTTGAAAACCCTAAGGATTGAGTCAGCACAACCTCTCTGGGCAGCCTGTTCCACAGCTTGACCATCCCAAGTTGCTCCTCATATTCAGCTGGAAACTCTCCCATTTCTGCTCGTGTGTGTTGTCTGTCCATCCTGTCCTCACACACCCCTGCGCACCGGCTCCAGCTTTGCAAAAACTTTCCTCCAGCACTGCAAGGCTGCCATTAGGTCTCCCAAGGCTGCCTCTTCTCCAGGCTGAACAAGCTGCTCTCCTCCCCTCAGTCTCTCCTCATACAACAGCTGCCCCAGCCCACTGAACATTTTAGTAACCCACCAGAATCCATGGAAACTCAAGGAAAAACCAAAGGTCAGGAAAAACCCTGGAATAACCTTAAATCCTAAATTTAGAAAATAACTACAGGAAAAGGCTGCTCTCAATGTGCTGGCTCATCTTTGCTTTTCCTGGTAAATGGATGACAATTAAGGCTTCAACAATAAAGTGTGTGTGATAGTAGACTCATGTTTCTGGAAGTAGACAGGGCTGAGAAGTGGTGACAAGTTGTTAACTCAATGTAGTTGTAAAGACAAATGGCCAACACACTTCTCACAAGCAGACGAGAGAAAGAAAATCCCTACAGTAAACAATTACCTGTCTGGGAAAAACTGAGTATACTGTCCTTTGTACTGGTGATCATTCCAGTAGTGTTACGCCATGTTGGTTGGTTTTGGTTTTTCAGGTTTTTAACTTTTGCCCTTTCTATATTAAAGCAGCATCCAATTTTCAGATTTCTCATTCATATGAAGATTTTACAACCTATGTATTCACTGATTAAGGAATGAGGAGATTTGTGACAGTACATCCTTTCATTAAATATTCATCCTTTAATTCAAATAAATAAATGGGCATCTGTCTACCCCATCTGCTACATTTATGTTTTTCCCTGCAACAGTTGCCACCTTTCATTGAAGGAAGGTTCAAGTGAAAAACCAAAACCCATCAAGTTTCTGAAGCCGTAACTGCTTCTCTTTGGTTAAGACAAATTCTTATGGGAAAAGCAAAGCAGATTATTTGTGAAACAGTTAAAAAAATCCTTAACTTGTTACACATACCAAAATAGACAGTCTTTCACAGCTCAGGAACACTTCAGAAAGTGCAAAAGATACACACAGCTCCCAGGACTTAACTGCAGGACCATTTCAGAGGCATAAATACACACTTTGCAACTCTTCTTCTTTTTCTCTTCTTCACATCACAAGAAAGTGCTGGCTAAGTAAAGGAATTAAAAGTACCTTCCTTTCCTGCCATATTTTATCCCAAACAGAACCCTTATAACAATTCTCATTCCCTTTACCATCATTTAATCTTTCTTAAACTGAATTTCAGTTTTTATCTCCTTATAGTGTTTTCTCCCACAGATTTCCTCAACAATTTCCTGTCACAATTTCCTGTTATGTTCTGTTCCTGCTCTTAATCTTCATTTTCCATCTGTACATGTGCAAGCCCTTTTTTCAGAGATTAGAGCCATACAGTTTAAAGTTATCTTCCACTTTCCAGTTCTTTTCATGCTACACCTGACATTATTAAACACTTATACTCTCTACCTTTCTTTTTCTGAAATAAGTTTCTACTACTACTCTTTTTTGTAGTCTTTGACTAGTCTTCTCTTGTTTTCTCATTCTTTCCAGCTTACACCTTTTTCTCTTACTATGTTCCTCTGCAATGACCCTGCTACAATCTGTTCTTTCTTTACTGCTTCCCTCCACCTACTTCTTTACATTTCCTTTCCTCATCTCATCCTGGCCCCTCACCACTGGTCTCTTTTGTCTTTCTTTTTTTCTCCTCTTTCACCTGAACACTGTAACCAAGTGACTGCTAGAAATCAAGCAGCTATATAAAGAGTTTATAGACGTTCTCTCATTATTGATTACTGCCTTTACTAGAAAGCTCTCCCAAAACAAAGGTTATACAGAATCACAGAATTGTTTAGAAGAAAATATTTAAGATCATCGAGTTCAAACAGAAATATAATAAAAAAATATTTCCCCAAAAGCACTCCAATGTTTTAACTATCAAATTTAATTTCAGATTCATCACACAGCAAAAGAAAGAAAAAAAGTGACATCTTAAAAATGTATGTTTTGTCACATTTTCACTCCCACCGTGACCTTTTCTTATCTGAGGACTATTCCACCAATAAGAACCAAAAGAAAAGTGTCAGATTCTTTTCCTAACATCCCTCTACTCACTCTTTGCAGGTAAATCTTGGATCATACACTAGAGAATGCCAGGGAAAAGTGGAATAATCGAAGTTCCTCTGCAAACTGAATGGTCATTCAACATCAAAGACAATTTGAATCAACTGTGTCACTCACAAAAAGAACTTTGTGTTTAGCATTAGCACTGCAGAGAATGGCCTCTTCACTAAGAAGCAAAACTTCAATTAGCCTCCTCTCCTCCAGATTTTTCCCCAGTCCCACAAAGTAATTTGCTTGGTTCACTCATGTTACAAAGTCTGATACCATTTGAAATCCTCCAGTGTATATCAGCTGTTCTATGTTAATAACACATATCCCCACACAGATCTGTCTATGCATAATCCCTTCAAGAAAAAAACCAATGTAACACACTTCACATTTACCCCAGGCTCCCAGTGCATCCAGGAGCCCCTACCACAGTGAGCACAGTTATTAATACTTTGCAGGGACTCCTTGGACTTTGTGGAAGTATCAAATCCTGACTGTGAGAGTAGCCTACAGTGACTGAGCCAGCTCAGCACGCTCTTGCAGGTGAGAGCAGAGGATGTGATCTGACAAAATGGTTTAAAAAGGAAGTATATGAAAAGCAGATTAAAACCTTTTTTGAGGACATAGGACTAGATGACAAAGTTAGGACTGAGGAATATGGGATGAGAAGTTAGGACATTAGGCATGGGATTTTAGACAGAAGCTAGATGGGAGTACTAAGATGGACCTGTCATGCTGAGGAGCAACATGGATGAAACAAGGAGGTGTGAAAGAAGAGAATATACCGGGTAAGTTATTGCCTTTTGCACCGTAAGTCATCAAGAGCTCTAAGGGCAAAGTACTAAATCAAAGCAAAAACTCTGGGCCCTCTGTAGCACAGATGCAGCATCCCAAGACAGCTAATTCTAGGTCTTGTGGCGAGAAGTGGAATGTTCTAAAATAATCCTAGAATTAGAAAAACCACAGAGCTTGTTAAAAATGCCCATGCGCGTTTTATTAATAAAAACTAACAGTGCCAAGGTTAAACAAGTCAAACAATTATAGTCTCTTTATATTTCATAAAATATTACAGAAAAGTTTATTTGTGTTTCAATAAAAAGACTACTGTCTTAGAATAGGCAGCTGACAGTATTTGTGCAGTTAATTGTTTGTGAATAAATTTAAAAAGACTACCACCTGCCCTGAAATTCCTTTTATAAAAATGAACTATTAAAAATGATTGACAAATTTTGAGTTAAAAAACTTAAAACATTCTCTATATTTAATTTCAACTTTATAATAGATTACAGGAAGATGCTTATGAAACAAATACAAACATTTGTTTCAGTACATGTCTTTATATGATAGACTTATAAGTATGTAAACAACTATATAATAAAAAGTTTCCAAAGACTGCCTGTAAGAAATCAGGCAAATTTTACCATAAGCAATAAATCATTCCAAACCTTCAAGACATTTTATATAGCTGCACCAACTGGCAGTAAACATTTGCCAAAAACTTTTTAATTCGTATGTCCCAACATACAGTGAAAAGTATATAAACTTGATGGAATCATAATGTTAGATATAATTTAAGGGAAAATAAGTTCACAACAACATTCCTGGAATTTAACATGTAAAAAAGTAGGACGTATCTTTCTTGTTTGGTTCTTTGGACACTGCATGATTAACAAAAAACACTACTACATTAGCTCACTATCCCTCAAAAAGTGGCATAATCAAAATACACTCCAAATAAATTGCCATTCAGTGTATTCATTTTCCACAGAAGGATAGTATTTTATTTCTCAATGATGTGTCTACATTTTCTTTAGCAAACTTTGAAAGAACATTTGGGGCAAAATTCTTTTTCCTTCAAGTAAAAAAGAAATCCCAAACAAAAAACAACCAACAAACCAAAAACCCCTAAAACAAGAGTAAATAAAGGCTCTGCATTAACACACTGGTATCAAAAACACACATCCACACCACATTTAAAAATATCCTACATAAAACAATCCTTGTTTGCTTATCAGAGGTGCAATTTCTAAACTCAGAACTGCTTACCAATATTCTCCTTGGGGGATGGGGCAAAGTAATTTGAGACACTTCTCCCTAGAACAATTTATTCCTGAAGCCTGCTGAATTTTAACAAAAAAATAGTCTACAAGCAAAGGGCATCAGTCGTCATCATCATTTTCATTAAAATCATCGTCATCATCATCGTCATCCCCAACATAAGAAACCGGTGTTTCAACTCTGGAGCCACTATACTGAGATCCATTGGAACTTGTAGCCAACATCCCATCTCCACCATTGGAAAAGTCACTGCAAAAAAAAAAAAAAAAAAAAAAAAAAGCCAGTTGGCATTGCTTCATGATTTCTCCCATACCTAGTCCATTCCTTTAATGAATCTGCCACAGCCACTTTATAAACTGTCTTTAGTGTATGTCCAAAAAGAAGTGCTGTCTCCAAAAAGATGAAACAGTCTCAAGTAATTTTGAAGTGGTTCTTATTAGGTTTCTTCCTTTAGTTTTTAATATAAAGATTAAACTTTCTCACAGGCACTTTATAAATATGTTTTTCAAGTTTCTTCTAAAGTACATTTAGTGTTAAGGCTACAAAGCTAAGCTCTTTAGTATTTTTGTGCAGCACTGAACACTTCCAAGTGAATCATATCTTTCAGAGTCACTAATCTTGATTCAAAGACCTGGAAAACTGAGGAATTAATAGCTTTTCCTTAACTCCTTGACACTACATAGCAAACTGTCATCTACTGTATTTTTAATTTGAAACTTCTTCTTCTCACTGTGCACTATTTTGTTTTAACAGAGCCAGAAAATTCCTGCCTCCATTATTAATTGCTACTTTGCCAATCTATTTAATTTTTGACTTTCTAAATAGTTTAGTAAACTATTAGCCACAAATTCATGATGAAATGTTTTTTTTTAAATTCACAATAATATCTCCCTTGAAAGACATGCATCATTAAAAAACTGCTTTCAAAAATATGTTTGCTAGTAATTTTTAAGATGCTGATCCAGCTAATGCACACACACAATCATGTGTGCTTGTTGCTGTATGGAGCCAATTCAATGGTCTATTATCACACAGAATCAAACTGCCAGGGTACACCCTATAAGCTCACAGGAAAAACATATCCAGTGAGACACTTTCAAGTATTTCTGCTGCTCTGCAAACTTATTCAGCAGCAAGACACTAAGATATCTGTCTAGCTGTAGTCAGATGACCTACAACAGGTCTGCCATAATTATCTGCAAAGGCAGTTTCAAAAGCAAAGAAAACAAAACAAAACAGAGATTATTCTTCTGCTTTTGTAAACTTTGAAAGTACAAACCCAAAATCTGTTCCCCTCTCTTTTTGATAAAAACAACTGGATTTCATAACCCAAGTATCCTAGCAAGTAAGGCAAAGAAACTGGAATGAAGGTATTGGTAGCAGCACCTTCAGACTTCTTCAAACTTTCTTTAGCAACCTTGTTAAATAAATGTACAGCCTTCATTTGCCTTGGCAGCACAACTTGTATTGCCATGAATGTTCGTTGCTATTGTCATGAATATTCATATATCCTATAATTAAATATAAGTTGTCGCAGTCTTTTTCCAAACTCCTAAGAAATGGTAATGGTTGAAGTTCTTGTACTCTCACCGAGATAATGAACCCCAGTCAGCCTCTGGTTCTCTACTGGCCTCTGGCTAACAGTGGCCTATTCAAATTTCAGTCTTAAAAACACATGGTGGCTTTTTTCACTACCCCATGCTCATTACCACAGAAGGAAACTTATTGAAAACAGAGATTTTAGGTACTGTTCAGCACCTCTAAAGATATTTTGGCAGAATTCTCACTCAAGCTTCAGCTCCCTTCCACAAAACATGCAGAACTTAATTCAAGCATTTGTTACGAATGTCAAGCATTTCAATGATCATAGAATCAATTAGGTTAGAAAAGACCTCAGAGATCACAGAATCCAACTGCTGAACATTTTACAACCTTGTGGAGCTCATAGAAGGTCATATTTTTGATTAATACAGTAATAAGAAAGTAGCGAGTAACAGAGTTGAATACTAGTTACAGTTTATCATGCTACCAGCTTCTGTGATTGCTGTTTAAAACCCAAAGATCAAAATCTTTTTTTAAGTTAGACACTAATGAACAAGGAGTAATCTTTCCAATACTCTACCATTAAAGAAGTATCTGTTTTCTTGTCACAAACTCTAAACTAGAAAAAAACCCCAAACAAACAACACATTCAAGAATAACATCACTCTAACACCTTTCCACTATACAGGAAAGGATTTCCTTAATGACACCGCCAAGAACCACCATAGAAGTGATGTCTGAGAATAAACTTAAAACACATATCCATAGCACATTTAATCAAAACAGAATTTGTTTCATGAAGCATTTAATATCCAAATTTCTTTGATGAACACAGATTTTAAAAACTAACTGAAAATTTCATCTCACCTGGCTGAAAACCTTGTGCCGTTTGACGCAGAACCCGATGAAGATGTGACATATACACTGCTGATTGATCCCTGAGCCATTTCTGCAAAGCAAACAACATGCTTTTCAGGAATCCCTCCAAACACACCCATCTAATTCAGTGGAAATGCTTAATCCTTTAAAGTCCAGAAAAGGAGTCTTGCAGCCCAAACAACAAAACACATTTATGTACTATATCCAAAACAGCATAATTTAAAAAAAGGTTAGTGCAAGCAACAATAACATTTCAAAATACATTTTAAAAACCCATTTGTTTTGAAGTGAGCAAGACAGATGACTTCAGTATTTATCATATGGTTGCACTTACTACCTTCTGCCCTTGCAAGTGAATCAAGCATTAAATACTGTTCTCTTAAAAGAATTACACACTGCAAAGATCTACTTGTGTGGCTTGATGCAAAATTTTTTGCAGAGCAACACTCCACTCTTTATGAATCACTATGTTATTTGCTCCCTAAGACACACTAAAAAGCACACAAATTTGAGAACTTGACAGAAATCTTTACCATAAACCAGTGGAAATCAACTATTTAAGATATTTTCATGTTTTTTCTTAGAGTCCTATATTAAGGAGGAAAAAAAATCAACTCTTTTTGGAGTAACTAACCTGTCACATATGGTTCCAGAGCTTTAGGAACCAAACTCCTTGCAATTTTTAGGTCCTCTGCTGAACAGCTTCCAGATTCTAGCCCACAAGCCATTCCCATTCGTTTTAGTACTTCTATATCATCATGAATTTCAAAAGTATTGTCAAAATTAAATAGATATTCAAACCTGGAGAGGAAAAAAATGTCTCAATTAACTTTAGTAACTTTAACTACCTTTCAATTTTCAGGAATTTGCAGCATTTCAAAAGCTTTACACACAGTGTTAAGTGTGCTATTGACACATCACATTAAGCAATCGAATTTTTCAAGATTTATATATTTGCTCATGACTGCTTACATTCAGTTTTTATTTAGCTGATGAAAAATACAGCTTTTTGAACCAAAAGTGGAGAACAGCAGTCCTGAAAGCAAAATTCATTTTCAGTTCCGCTGGCTGCATTTCATGGTGTTAAAGACAAAGGAAAACACTGCTTGGTTAAGTATGACATAGAATGTCAAGAGAGATGCCTAGTGTCTCTACATAGCAAGTCTTAAATAAGTTATGAAATGTGAATCAACTAGTCTATTTATTAAAAGAGTATATAAAACAGCTGTCTGAAATGCATGTTCTCAATTTACAAAAGGCACAAGTAAATTAAGTTTGTATTTAAAAAAAAAATCTACATGACCATTTATATGAACTCAAAGCTCTGCCAAAGGCCAAATGTAAAACTTTGTTAGCTTACTTGTCATTTGAGATACTGCAGTCTATCACTGTCTTTTTGCTGGTGTTCACAATGATAAAAGGCAAATGGATGACAGAATTGGAAGGGGGAGGTCGGTTTGCCTGCTGTTCTGCGTGACGGTTTCGCTGGACGAGGTTCTTAAAGGCAATTTGCTAGAAAAAGCAACAGCAATATCAAAGCATGAATGAAGCTCTTAGAATCACGTTAACAAAATTCCTAAGGATTCCAGCAATGGTTGCAACAAGTAAATGCAGAAAAGGACAGAGTGTTTACCATATTCCTGCATGTTAAGATGCAAGAAGAGTCACCAATCTCCAGTATTAAAAAAGGCAATGCAGTAAAACTTTACTGAGAAAAACAAAAAAGAACATTCCACTAACTACACCAGCACAGCTCCTTGGACAGATCCCTGGCAGAATGGAACAATGACTGGAAAAATTAATTTTCTCATAGCATCCTATCTCCTCTCCATTTCTTCTTCCCTACTAGCTGCTGCACTCCAAAAAAATGTTAATACTGAAATTAATTATATGCAAAAAAAGTTAATGTTTGGGATTTGAATATCTGGTATTAGGTTTCTGAATTACTCATTTAAGATTAGTGACTTTAACATCTTACCAAAATTGCTTTTTACAATGGAAAGTTCCTATTTTAAAAACTAGCAATTTGAATAATTAAAACCATAGAAACTCAGGTTATAAATCATACAGTAAGCTACTGAACAAAGCTACTGAAAAATATTTTTCTGGTCACAAAATCAAATTAAATAAACAAGAATGAAGACCAAAACCCAAAGCAAACACAGAGACTGATAGAAATCAGGCAGCTGTCCCACAGCTGTCTGTACTTTCATTCTGCATCCCTGAAATTCTCATTTCTACTGTGTAGGCAACACAGCTACCCAGGAATACATTTCTTGGACCAGCAGCACAGTGACTTGGGAAATAAGACTTGCTTCCCCAAGTGTAGTAAGGGAAATCTGGGAAGGAGTTCAGCCACTGTTTTACAGTGGTCCAGCCACTTACACACCAGTGGCAGAGAGTCTCCAGGGAAGCACAATGCAGAGCATTACGACAGACAACTTTTACAGTCACATAATTTTATCTATGGATGCTAACAGAGAAGAAAATTCTAGATACCTGTATCTAGTTCAGTTCCTGAACTGAACTGGAAAATTCAAAGGGTATGGTATGAAATACTTCTCCTATCAACATAAACCCTGTTTAAACATACTTGGAACTCCAAATAAATTCATCATAACTGATGGAAAGTTGATGGCATCCCCAATAGAAATGGCAAACAGCATGGTCCCAGCTAAACTACAGTGTTAAATAAAGCTGCATACACCTTCTCCTGAAATTCACCTCTAGTCTTCCTAGAAGTCCCCATCCCTCAGACTGGGATAAAACAAGAAGAATACAGATATAAGTTACCTTGCCCTATAGACAAGAGTACCTTGACTGTACCTGTAGAATGAGTTCTTGTAGCTGAGACTGTTTTTGCTTTATTCTTTCAATTCTTCTCTGTTTCTCCACCTTAAGACAGACAAAAAGGACTGGTCAGTTTGTTGGTTTTAAGCAGCATTTTATGCCAATGTTTTCTCCCTTTAAAATCATTTCAATAGCAGAGAACTGGAGGTAGGAAATATAGCAATCAATCATTAAGATTCTACATATAATTTAGAGACTTAACATTTTCTCCCTTTAAAATCATTCCAATAACAGAGAACTGGAGGTAGGGAAATACAGCAATCAATCATTAAGATTCTACATATAATTTAGAGACTTAACTATCAAGACACATCAGTACTACCTATGGAAACTAACAAAAAGCAGAATTAGAACCCTGGGGAATAAAATACAACAACCTGTGAAGAAAATAAAAACATCTTTGCAAACAGAAGTTATGCCTTAAAGGGTTACTGGAATTCTCTCAAAGAGGCAAAGATAGACAAGAATAATCTATTTGACATAGGGTTTATTGATATTGGAGGTATTGGAGAAGATCCATCAAAGATAGTTAAAGACATGAAGTGCTATGGAGCCCAAGGTTAAGACCTCACAGTATTTAATATGCACTAAATAATAACAAAATAGGCAAGAGACAAAAAGGTAGGAAATGCACAGCTTTCCTAGTGGAAGAAGCTCCCCAGCAGATTCCCACGGGGATTAAACTGAGAGACTGCTACTCTAACAGCAGACAATCTGATTGGTGACAAGGTGACAGAATCTGCTGGCAATGCTGGGTTACCTTGCGTAGTAAAAGGAGAGTTTATCATAAAGCAAACTCACAAGTGTCTTACAGCATTTTGTGATTACATCACCTAAATTATTTCTGGTAAATATAGTGCGGTATGTGTGAGAAACAATCTAATCCATGCATACTTTAGAAATAAAATGACATTCAGTAGAGATCTAAAATTGCAGTATCTGCAAAATCCATCAGCTCACTATACTGTGACAGCCAAAAATCCAAATTATTAGGCACGAAACAGAGTACCAAACAGGAATTATCACTACATTACTCTAAGAAGCAGAATGTTTACATCTTGTATTCTGTAGGTCTGATGGTTCTATTTCAAGACAAGCATACAGAAGAGCAATCAGGATCATCAGTGATACAGAATAGACTTTACACAAGAGAATAATGAATAAATTAGAACTGTACTGAAAGGAGAAGGAAATAATGGGAGAGAACATCAGAGATCCCTATACAACAATGAACAGGATGGAGAAAGTGAATAAGGAATGACTAGGTCATCATCACTCCCAATTAAAAAAAATATTCAGCAGGTATCAACATATCAAGACGTTCAAAACCAAACAAAAGGTATTTCATAAGAAGCTTCTCATGCACCTGAAACTCACTGCCACAAAATTAATTTAAAAAAATAAATGAAAAATCAATTATCAGTATCAAACAAAAATTAGATTTGTAGATAAGGCTCCCTAACACTTTTGCTCCACTTTCCCCCTAACTTGGGAACCCTCTCACTGATTTTTTTTTGTCCTGCTGAAGGAATTTACACTTATTAAGAATAAATACAACATCTCATTCCATCCAGATGAAGTGAAATTACTTCAGTAAACCTCAGTAACTTTATCATTCTTCAAATCTCAGGACAGTAAAAAAATCCTGTCAGAACTTACGGATCTCTTTCAGTATAAAGCATTTCACTTCCTCCCCGTGACATGCAATAAGAAAGTCTGACATACTCACTTAAGAGAATTGTCACAAAAAGATAAGATCTGCAGCAATGGAGATGCCTATATGAACTGACCTACATGCAACATCTATCATCACAGATCTACTGTCTGTTTGTGGAGGAAACAAATCTTCCCAACTCCTGAGTACCACGACTGCAATGTTGGAAATACACATAAATTTTTTACTACCTTCCACTCAGAACCACTTCACATGTACTTTTAAAAGCTGTATTTTTGACATAAAAGAATTATACAAAGACACATTTGAACAATCTGGAAGTTGAAGAGTGTGTGTTCAGTACACAAAAGTAAAATAAAGACGCAAAGAGGATCATACTGTTCTCTGTTGGTATCTCAGAAGATTATAGGCACATACTGTATCAGAACATACTAAAGCTGTAAACATTTGCTCAAACACAAAGCCATTGTGAAGTTGCAAATGCATATACCTCCAAATTCTGACATTCCTGAGCCGAGTTAGTAGGTAGACCAATCCATTTGATTTCCTTTTTCTCCTTAGAGATAATATTCATGGCCATAAGGACATTTAAGGCATCATAGACACGTCGTCTAATATTCTTCTGGTCATAAGCCTGCTGTAGACATAGTGCATTAATCAAAAATATACCTGTGTCAAAAATATTTGAAAATAAACATATTACAGCAAATGGGTAAACTCAGTTAATATCTGAACTGTTTCATTTAGCAGTAGGAAAACCAGAAAAATCTCAAGAGAAATTTCTCTTCCCCCATTCAGTTCACATGTAATTCACTCCCCATATACTTACTGATTCATTTGGTGAAATGTGATTATCAGTGGTAGTGAATTCTGCAACCAACTCGTCTGCCACCTCATTGTATGAGGTGGTTCCTTTTCTTTGTACCTTCTCACAAACCTTCATAGAGAAATGACGTAAACCCTTGCCATTCTTCTCGCCTTTTTTGTTCCGCTTCCTAAATATATGTACAATATATATTTTAAGAAGATTTAAACTTTGGAATATTTGATGTCTTTTTTTCAAATACAGGCACACTGCTGTCAAAAACCCAAGCCTTCCCTTTTCTTCTGCTTCTTATCCCTTACCAACCTTCTCTCTTACATTTTACAATATTTATAAACAATTCTAGTATCTTGATGCTGAAACACAATATAAATTTATTCTTTGGCCAACTTTTCTAGCTTCAGTAGAATCACAAAATCATAGAATAGTTTGGGTTGGAAGCAATCTTTAAGTGTCTTCCAGTCCAACCCCCCTGCACTGAGCCAGGGTATCTTCAACTCAGCGAGGTTGCCGGAAGCTCTATCCAACCTGGCCTGAAATTTTTCTAGTAGCAGACAAAAAAATTAACAATAGGGATATTACTTGAAGAAGTCAATAAAGAAAACCTTAAAAACTTCAAGACAAGAAGAGATAAGGGCATAAATACTAAAACATGAAACTGAGTCAGAGGAGAGAACTTTTTTGTCCTTTTTTACAATTTTTATTTTTAAGTAGCACATAGATTGAGCATTTTCTATGCAACGTGATACTGATACTGACTGAACAGACAAAGTCTGGTATTGGTTGAACTCACTGAACATTACACTATTACTATATCACAGATTTGAAGTTATACAGTATATGAAATTGCTATTAGAACTTCAAAGTTACAAGATACAAGCAGTATAACAAAGTTTTCTGCTTTGCAAAGTTTTAATATATAAATTTCCTTGTAACTAGAGGAAAAATACAAGTATCAAAAAAACTAGTTTCATCAAGGGGAAGTCTCAATTCTTACATCTCATTTCACTGTATAATTCCAAAGTAGAAATCTATTTATAAGTAACAGGCCACCGAAAATAAATTTAGTCTTAAAGCAACTACATTTAACAAAATGCCCTTAAAAACAAGCTTGCATGAAAAAAACACACCAAAAGAATGCATTACTTGTATTTAATACTTTTTCTCAAAAAGGACTACATTCTTATTTCAAAGGACACTCTGGGATACCCTTGTTCAATCAGAAATACACCGTATTTTTCTGAAAATACACCAGCATAAGAGAAATCATAGAATCAAGTCAGACAAATTCCTGTGTCCTTTTAGGACCTAAATTCTCTAATTATTAGTAATGTCAGAACATCTACCAGAGCTTACAGAAAATATTCTGCATTCTTTTACAAGAAATGAAGAGGTACTCATGGTGTGACTACTCCCTGTTTTAGTACAACAAACTTCAGTGGTGAAGTGCTCTTCATGAAAAGGAAAATACTTTGGCACACTGCTAGTCTGAAGAGTACATACACTATCACAACACTTAAAACAGAAGTCCCAACACTTTATTAAACCTTTCTAGCTTTCGTTTTGCTCACCCAGCAGACCAAGGTGAAGAATCTCCAGTCTGGTTCTGTGATGCAAAATGTGTGTTAGGCGTATGCGGACTTCCTACCAGGATGGTATTTTGCGCTGAAGGTCTCTGAGGTGTACCGATAACCTACAGTGAAGATAAAATCATTTGGAAAATGGTAAGAATTCCGAAACATTTGTAAGTGACACCACTGAAATGATGCATTATCCAAACACAAGTATTTTACATACTTCTCTTAGATGCGTCTAATTGATACACACTTGCTTAAAAACTTCTGACTACAGTTAATATAGATAGAGCACACCCTAAGATACCAGCATTTATATTTTAACCTCCTTAAATCAGGTTTTCATGCTTGCTGGATTTCTTAATACTGCTCAACACTTAGACAATATCAAAACACACACACACAGTCTCTCCAAGGAAAATGGTGGGGAAAAAGGAGGGAAAAAACCCCCCTACCCTACCAAATTATGTATAAGGAGGCTGCAGTAATTACAGTTAAAATACAAATGTAAGAAAATCTGAAAATCAGTAAAACCACAGAGAAAATGCAGAGCTTTTGCAAGAACCCTCTCTCCTGGTGTCAGCATCTAGCACTAGAGTCAAAACTACTGTGTTAGAGGTGAAAAAGAATAAGGGTGAACTTTCCTCATCACTGCAGTGAGTGACATCAAATCAGGCAAATCCATTCCCTTGCAAACATGTTAGGAGCACACACTTGGCTAAGCACAATCTTCCAACCTCCATGTGAACTGTCCAGAAGATGTGGTAATTTGACCATAAATAATAAGACATACATTAGCACATAGAACCGTGCCCTCTGAAACTAGCTAAACATAAAATACCCACTTTTGCAGGTGAAGTTTTTTATTTCTGAAATGTTTAAAATGTAACTGTCTAGAAAATATGGATTATGGGGAAAAAATTAAACCATATAGATTACTCTTCTGTAGAAAGATATGCCTACTTTTTTGGGGTATATTTACCTCCGAGTGGAAACAGCTGGTTGTATCCCTGACATCAGGTAAATGAAAAAAAAACTCAAACAAACCTGAACCCATCACCATCCACAAGCTTGACATATATTCCTGCAGCTACATTCTGTCTGAACAGCAAAACTTAATTTTTCTTCCTCAGGCCAGCTTCAACAGTTTAGTCTCAACAAGAGTAAAAACAAAAACTGAAAATGAAACGTTTCATGCGTGAAAGTTACATAGATGGTGCCAAAGGTAGTCTAGTGACTGTAGGATGTCCATGATTTCAGCTGTCTGGAAAGACAAACAGCTCTATTTTTTCCCAAATATTCTCTTTAAATTATGCCATCTCTCTGACCAGTTAACATATAAATTTGTTATATCACGGAATCACAAGTTTGGAAGAGAGACCTTCAAGATCATCAAATCCAACCCATGCCCTAAACATCTTAACTAAACCAGGGCACCAAGTGCCATATCCAGTCTTTTTCTTAACACATCCAGGGATGGTGACTCCACCACCTCCCCAGGCAGGCCATTCCAACATTTTATCACTCTTCCTGTAAAAAACTTCTTCCTTATATCCAACCTAGATTTCCCGTGACACAGCTTGAGACTGTGTCCCATATCCACTTCTGACAGCTAGAATATCTTTAGTACTCCCTTCCAGGAGCATTGTGCCACATTGAAATGTTTCTCTCTTATGAAAAGCCGAATAATCTGCTCTAGTGCTTTTCATAAACAAAACTTACGATTGTAGGAAATGGCATGAGGGTGGGAAATGCTGGCACAGGACATGTGAACCTGCTCACTTTATCCCCACGAAAAAAAAATATTATCAGTTCTGATACCAACTGGTCTGCTCACCAAATGTCTCCAAAGAGAGTGAAAACCACCCGCGTGCTATTCAAGTAAACAGATTATATGGAGAACTGAAGAAAACTGCAAGCTGGTTTCTATTCCCTAGGATGAAGAAGACTTCAAGAGATGATTTAACACCTTGCTTGCAGAGAGTCCTGCTCTCTAATGCCCTGCTTTACATTTACAATTCCACAAGCAGCCCCACCACTGTACCTCTAGAATTTTTATCACTCTCCAAGATGTAAGCCAAACAAGAACAGGGGCAGGGGGTGAGGAGGAGAGGAATTACAGCTGGAAAAAAAAAAACTGGCAGCAGCAAACCCTGAACCACTACTGCACTCAGTCCTGAAATACTCAACTCTACACAGGAAGAAATGAAGTGTGCACAAATTCACAGGTTTATTTCTAGAGGGGGACAGAGAAGTCTGACTAACATCTACTCTACATTCAAAATCTACTCTACTGCTTTCATACAAAGAAGAACATCAAATATAAATAATAAATAAGACACTAGTTCAGATGTCTACATGTTACAGTTGCTTTCCAGAAGATTGAGACCAAACCTACTCAGATCACTGAATTCTAATTATGATTAGTGAAAGAATTACTATAATCTATGTATTACCCAATGCATTGTAAGATTCCTTAGAACATCTAATTTCATATATCTCATACAAAGCTCAAAATAAGTATTTCAGCAAATGAATATTTCAATTAAGTACTAAAATATAGTTATGCTTTCAATTTTATTCCACTTAGCTCAAATCTCTGTAAAAATGTTTTTATGGACTTAAATTTACATTTCCCTATGCCAGATTTCAGAGCAGAATCTGAAAGACACACTGATTTTAAATGGCAAGACTAACAAAATATAAAGCCACCTGAACAGTAAGGTAACTTCATGTTGATTTGAGCGTCACCTTTGAACTTCTTTACACAATACGTTTTGTTTTTTTTTTGTAACCTAAGTCTATTAAAATTAGAAACAAACTTAGATTATCTGCCCATGACAAGTGATACAGACTGCCAGGCTATGTCGGATATGCTGTATGTGTAAACAATAGGACAAGCAATAAAAACAAATAAATAACCAAACAAACAAAATACACAAACAAAAATCCCAAAACAAACAAAAAAACCCCAACAACCCAAAAAAACCCCACATCCCACAAACAAAGAAACCAACAAAAAAACCCCACAGTCTCCTTACCACTTGTTGTGCAATGTTGACGTTAGACTGTCCAAATGTTTTTGGCAGGAGCTGTTTTCCAATTGTATTTACTGTGGAAGGATGAACAGCCAATAGAGAAACAACCCCTAAAACAAATACAAGTAGAGAGCTTCAGGTCAGCACATTGTATTATTTTAGCAAATAGTCTCATCTGTACTACCAATGCATATTAATGGAAACTGGCCCTGACACACATAATATAAAGTGTCTCACTATAAATGTAGCATTTACACATTTGAAGAATAAAAATAAATTAAAATTCACAGTATGTGCTCTCAAACTTTCTTCTACGAATCCTTACAGGTCACTGTTTTAATATGTTTTAATTCCTTGTACTCCAATTTTTTTTCTTAAAGCAGAGTAATACAGGCAACCAGCATTTAACAAAAAGCATAATCCTCTCTCTTCTTCTACCCTTACACTTTATGGCTATTGAAATAATTTTCAGTACCACCTGACAAACATGCCCAATGGCACAGCACATGGCATAGCCTCCTGAGACATGCTGGCCTACAGGAGATAAAATTTGGCTGGAACAGGCCTTTGCAAGAGAATATTCCCAACTTCCCTCTAAGTGTCCCCTCCATTTGAAGGCAGGGAATTAAAGAACAAGCAACCCCAAGAATCCATTATTTCAGAAAAATACATGCAACTCAGCAGATTGACCCTGGAGGAAAGGTTCTCTCTCTTCCTGTTCATAACCTATACACAATCAGCACTGGTAGGTAAAGCAAGTCTTAAGCCTTGTAAAAGATAAATGAACTACAAAAACAACAACGCAGGTATCTGCTAGCAGTTTCATGTTCCACTATATAGTTTAGAGGAAAGAATCACAAACTCACCTATTTAAAACAAACAAAAAACTCCCCAACCAACAACAAAACAGAGCAAAGAAAAAAAGAAGCAACAAAGAGTGACAACAGTAAGAAAATTATGAACAAACCAGTCTTAAAATACTGGAGACTGTTTTTTGCCAAATCAATTGTCAAGTGGTTGTCAGGTTTAGCAGTTGTTTCTCTGAGATAAATTTTAAAGAGGCCAATGGGGTCAGAAGGAGTTGGTACACCTCTCATTCCTCTCTTCTTCCCATTGTCCAATACAGAAGCAATAAATAAGCATTTTTACAAGGGTCTTATCAGGAGGGCTGTGACTGGTCCTTGATGCCTATCATCCCTCTATACATTCAGGATGTCTACAGTAAATGTGAGGACAAATCAAATCTTCTTTAAGCCCTTGCTTTCCAGAAGGCTTACATTTCCCAGCTGCTATTACTACACCATGCCAAAATGATAGCTTCACATAAGAATTTACTCTCAGAGATCAATCTATTCCCAAACAGGATGCAGCAGCATGTCCTTCTTCCATTACTAACCAGCTTTCCAGAGCTCTTTCAGCAAGTCAGCAGCTACCCAGTTTGTAAAGTAAGTCTGTTATATCTTCCTGTCCCTCCAAGTACACTCATCGCTATCATGACCGGAATTGTGTTTGTTCTTCCTCTCTGTGGAATACAATAAATCAATATGAACTACCCTGGCTACTAGTGCTTGTGTAGCTTCTCCTCAGCTTCCTGAAGTTTTTTTTTTTAAACTTCTCCTCACTGCTTTAAAAAATTCAGTGCAATCTGAAGACTGTATTTCCAGTATAAAAGAGGAGTTGTAACTGCTTTCCAAGGTTAAGACACCATCTATTTGATCATCTTCTCAGAATCACTGAATATTTTGAGTTGGAAGGGATTCACAAGTATCATCAATTCCAACTCTTGAGAGAATAGCCTATACAGGAATCCAACTCCCAACCATGGCATTATGAGCACCATGCTGTAACCAACCCCCCCTTACCTCTGATCTCATAGTTGCCCATGCTTTCTAGTTCCCCTGTCCTTTCTTTTGCAGATGACAGGCATCCATACAGTATTCATGACTAAAGAATGCATTATGTTATTTATAGCTCGTTTACTATTTTATTCCCTGTTCCTTTCCAAGTAATTCTCAAAATTCCCCACCAAACACTGATACCACATTTTCATTAACACGACGACTTCAAGACCTTTCTTCAGTGCTAACAGTTCACTTTGGATACTCATGGTACCAAGTTCAGTTTTCACCAATTATTAACCCATGGGAGGACCATCCCATTCTATCACACCTTAGCTTAACAGGCTGATTAAGGACCTTGATAATCAATTTTTTAAATTATTTTTAAGAAATCCAAGGACATTGCTCTGATTAGATAATCCTTATCCACATGGTTGTTGACTCTTTCAAAGCATGACTTTGACAAGAAGTAACTGCAGACCCTGCCTTTTTGCCTCCCTCTAGAAAAGCCCTGTTGAAGGCCACTATCACATCTATCCACACATGCATTTCTTCTCTGTTACCTGCTCAACCGGGCTGCCACAGAAGTCTGACTTACTCATCTGCCATTATTGGAGCCCTTCACAAATCAGTGCAGGCCATGCTGCTCTCTTTCCTTTTGGTACTATATAAATTATACACATACTGAGTTACAAGGACAGAAGTACCACTGCTAGCTCCTTTCAGAATTCAGAGGTAGACAGTTTTGTACAATGAGTGCTACCCGTTCACATTGAGTTTTTTCCTACGACAACTTCCAAATATTACTTCAGTAGGACAACTTCATAAAGAACAATACTCCCGTAAGACCCTCTAATCTTCAGATTCACTCAAGAGACTTAATTATTCTGATATGTTTAAAAAGAAGAAATTCTTTATGCTATCACATTAATTAAAAAAATTTACTCAATCAACAAAGACAAAAATGTGCCAATATAAGTCGACACAAGAGCAGAGGTCGGGTCAGTGGTTAGGAAGCAGATGCTCCCCGAGGTGCTCTCCCATGCTAACAAAGACTTAAACACATCCTGGGCTGCATTTGGAAGCATACAAGAACAAGCGATTATTCCTTTTCTTTCAGCACTCTTACACTGTCCCTGGATGACTCTGTTCCGTTTCGGGGGCCAAGGTGCAAACGAGGCAGTAGCAAACAGGAGAGAGCAGCAGGAAGACACCAGTGTGCCTCGGGTACTGGAGTACATCCTGCACAAGGAGAAGCTCAAGGAGAGGCAGTAGCAAACAGGAGAGAGAGCAGCAGGAAGACACCAGCGTGCCTCGGGTACTGGAGTACATCCTGCACAAGGAGAAGCTCAAGGAGCTTGGGGCATTCAGCCTCTGGAAGAGGATAAAGTGGAGCAAGGGGTGTTATATGCAGAAATCACTGCCTTCAACTATTAAAGGGAAGTACAGAGATGACAGAGGACACAACAAAAGGAAAAGAGGGAATAGTCACAAGTTGTTGCGTGGCAAATTCCAGCCAGGGAAATTGCTAAAGGTAGTTTACAGCAACAGGCTGAGTAGGAGATTCCTTGGTGATGGACAGCAAAATTCAAGAACTGAAGGCTCTGTGCACCAAAGCTGATCCTGCTTTGAAGGTAAGGTTTATTAGATAGCCTCCAGCCTCCTGCTATTAATAATTTTATTTTCTGAAAAGAAATCGCTATCTTGTAACTAAAACATCCATAGTGTGAAAGAATGAGCACACACACTGTTTCTTTAAATTTTTTAATTACGCTAACATTTCCTGTAGTGCTGTGCCAGAGTTAACTCATGCAACTGAACCAACCTGGCTCTAAACAGAAACTACAAGGTTCATCTTTCTGTACAGCACAAACTGACTGACAAGGAAACAGAAATGTAAGTGAAAGAATACTAACGCAATCATCACCATTCAAAGCAAAGTCAAAGTCAACTTATCATGAGTATAACTGCTCAAGTATACAGAAAACTTTTAAGAGGATATTTTCAATGTCTCTGTCCAAGTGCATTCTATTTTCTCATTTGCCTCACATGCAAACATTTTACTCATATTCATCTGCATTTTTCAAAGGCTCATAACATGTGGGAGGTTTTTGTTTGTTAAATACAAGCAGAAGTAATTTTATCAACTTTGATTTGCAAGTGACTGACAGCTCAGTTTCTCAAACAAATCTTACGACTAATTTCTTAATTACTGTTAGTCAGCAATCACTGCAATCCCAACAATCCTGTATTTTGTAGACAATGTACAGTGTACATAACAGCATGTAAAAATTAAAACCACAAGTTTGCAAACAGTTGTACTGGCATCAACACTTCTTCCTTTTCAAAACAAATTATTAATACTGCTAGTAATGACACATCTTTTTTTCCCCCTTTAAGACTTTGAGAACCACAGGAAAATGCCATTTAGAGCAGAAAAAACAATGTATACAGAAGGATATAACTACTACTACTACTTACATTCACAGCGTCACAAATGTTTGGAAAACTACTTTTAGTAACTTATATGCAATCATTAAACCTAAAGGGAAGTAGAACTTCACCAGTATGATGTTCCAGCATACCTCCAAATACAAGATAACTATGCAGGTGGCATGAAGGAATAATGGCATAAAAAAATTGCAGATCAAAAGAAGCAGCACTGCAACAAAACCTGATTTATCTGTCTACAAACAAGTAAGTGCTCTCCTTGGTTACTGCTCAACTGGACCTTTGCTTGCATATAAAAACAAACTAGAGAGTTTTACCAAAAAGTAGTACCCTGCAGAATTTTGACAGCTTAAAAGACTGGTGATGCAGTTAATGAAGAACATTTAAGAAAACTGAAGATGACACAGAAAAAAGACAGTATCAAAGAAATGAGTGCCCTCTGCAGACAGCGAGGTGGATCTCCTGAAAAGCTGACTGCTCCAGTCCTGGAAACAATAGTGACTTTGAATTTGGTGTTCAGGATAGAGAGGATGGGCTGAAGTACTCCTTGCCTCAGGAGCAGAAATCTCATTCATTCTAGATACTCTACCATTTTCTGAAGTAATCTGCCTTTGTGTTTTCTTTACTTGAGAAGAAGAGAGCAGTCAACAGAAAAGCAATTTACTTCCCCTGTAATGCAGGCTCTAACAAACTAAGTTCTGTCATAAGACAGAGATGACAATTATATCCTGGGACCTGATTCCTCATATATCACTCCTGTGACATTGCAGTTGTTAACATCTCTGTCAGGAACATCATAGATATTTCATATTATTTTATTA